CAGACAAATGGTGAACTTGAAAGACATCCTAATAATGAAATTTATTGGAGAATCATAAAAGACAGACCACATCTGTGGTGAAAAAATGACTTTCCCACTATTTTTTTCCCAATCACTCTGTATGTACTCCTCGCTAGACTTTAAAAAATGGAAGATGTACGAGACTTTTACACGACGTTAATGAGAACTGTGGAAATGATTTTGTCTTTCCACCTCTGAACTTGTCTGCAGCTGAGATTATAATCAGCTGAAATTTCACAAAATGTATTTGCATTAACCAAAGCTTATGTTAGCACTTAGAATAGGTCTTCCAGCTAATTGGTGCCTGGCAATTCAGGCTATTGCCAGCATTGGTGGTAAGCCATCTAAGGGTGGTGAGTGGTCCCTGCATCAGCAGGCATTCAGCACCAAGGGTATACAAATTAATTTCTGATGTAACTGCGCGCTAATACTGCACCACATGCACATTTGCATTAACACCTTCTTTTTTCTAAGTGCACATTAGTGAATGGAGAGACTGGCTGCTCTCACTCTTTATACCTTTGGTCTCTTTCAGCTCCACTATGCACTACCATTCATTCAACACCAAACTGTCCGTCTCTTTCTATTTGCGACACACACACACACACATGCACGATGCTCCAGCACTCAACATGCCCTGCTATTAGGCTGTCAGTTAGTCGGGCCAATAGAATAAGTGGTGTGGATTAGGCAGAGACACACACGCACACAGAGGATGGACAGCATACTAAACAGAGTGGGGCATGAGGTGACAGATATCCTGTCATAAATCCCTCTCTCTCTCTCTCTCTCTCTCTCTCTCTCTCTCTGTCGTTCTTTAAGACACATACACACACACAGCAAAGGAAACAATTATAGCCACTCAGACAGTCGATAACAGTGAGACATAATCAACTTAGTGCAGTTTTTTTTTTCTGGAAGTCTTGTGATACTTTGTCATTTCCTCCGACCACTCGTCCTTACTCCTTTGCCTCTCTACATCTCAGCTAGACAGCTCCTCTCTTTTTTTGTTCTTGTCCTCTCTTCTGCTCTCACAGTCTCTTCCTTCTCCAGTCCTGTTCTTGGCATCTGCTCTTCTCTCCCCTCTATAACTTCAGTTTCTCTACCTTTTGTTTTACATGTCCAGAATGTTAATCTACTTCTTACTCTTTCTGTCTTTTCTTTCATTTCCATCATTTTCTTCTTTCTCCACTTCCTTTCAAAATAGAAGGGGAGATGGAGAAGATTCATAGAGAGCAGCTTGAAGGCAAAGGCAAAAGGATGAGATTGCAAGAAGGGATGGTCATATCATCTGCTGCCTCATTCGTCACCCCATCTAGATGAGTACTCTCCTTCTTACTCCTCCTCATATTTTCCCTTGCATCTCTCTTTCTCCCCCTTTCTTCTTTCCTCACTCCCACCCCTTTGTTTTGCTCGCTTAACCCTGAGTTTCTCTCTCTTACCCCTTCCCCTCCTAAGTTCACCCTTTCCACACATCTCCTCCATTCTCTTCCCAAATTGTTCTTTGACCTTCTCATTTCACCGCACCTTCTCGTGTTCTTTACTCCTAAGTTCATCATTGTTCATTCTACACGTCCTTCCTCTGCTCATGTAAATCTCTTTTTCCCCTCACCTCTGCACATTTTTACTCCACTTCACTTATATGAGAGGTCTCCATGTGTCATTCATTTACAAAACGCACATAGCAGTCTCTACACTAATCTTACAAATGGCTCTTTAATTGGGGAATTGAGAGATGTTTATTTGATCAGAGCCAAAGACTTCTCTATATCCCTTTATCATGTCAACACAACAGGCAAACAAGTCAAGGAGAAAGAGTAAGTAAGTACACGGTCGCTCCCTTTCTCCTTTCATTCTTTTTCTCACTTTCCCCCCTTTTGTCCTTGCTGCCAAAGAAATCTAATTAAGTGGAATATAAATTGTAAATTGGTTTCCATGAAAACACACACACCTCAGTGCCCATCACCTCCAGATTCAACCGGATATTCAACAATTAGTGGGCACTGGAGCTCAAAGACATGTATCAGGAGCACAGCTGCACCCAACACACACACACACACACACACCAAATGAAAGGACGGCCTTGAGTAACACATGCCTCTGCTTTCTTGAACATAATGTTGTTGCAAAACACAAGAACAAATGAACCTCTTTTTAAAGGATCAGTTCACCCAAATCACAAAAGCAAAGGTAAGGAGAAAGCAGGTAAGTTATTAATGCTTTATCAATAAGTCATACACTGACTTCAGCTTAAACTTCAGCTTAAACCAATTTCAAAACGCCAACTAGAACAGCTGAATGTTTAAAAAAAATACAAGTATGAAATAAATAAACACAGAAAAACTAAGTCTGCAAACAGACAAATACAAATGCAGCTTCCATATGAGGATGGATTAGAGGGTTATTACAACCTCTACAAGATGTCATTAAGAGTGACTGACAGCTGTGGGGTGAAATTGATTTCGTCATCATTGGATTTCAGTCTATTATCATTATAGCTGAATATGTTTCACATTTTTTTGTAAGAGGAATAAAAAGAAAAAACAATCATTTTAAAAAGTCTGGTCCAACGTGTGTGTGTGTGTGTGTGTGTGTGTGTGTGTGTGTGTGTGTGTGTGTGTGTGTGTGTGTGTGTGTGTGAGAGAGAGAGAGATAGGGGAATCTGTCCGACAGATAGCAAGGATGTATCAATATCGCCCCCCAACGGCACGTATCAAACAACAAGCGAAAAAACTGTCCCTTTGCTCTCTTCTGTTACATATACAGGAACACACACACTAATAAAATAAATTGTAAATAAAGTGAAAAATGTGAGTGAAACAATTCAGAATGATGATGCATTCTTATATTATAAAGACTCCAAATCGTTCTTTAGAAAAAACGAACAAACAAACAAAAATCTAAAAATATTTTCAGCCTCTGCAACATTTTGAGCCTTTTGTCCATTTATCACAGCCTGATGATGAGATCACCTGTGTTTCATTAGTTGCTTTAAATCTGTATGAAGGATAGGCTTTCCTTTGTTTATGTGGCTTTAAAACTGTTTTCTTTTGTTCTCCTCGTGTCTGTTAATGTTAGCCTGTCGAAATGAAGACTCATATATCACAAAGCTTTAAGTTTTTAGTTGAATTCAGACATAAACACACACATTTGACGAGTTATGTACTTCCTTTATCGTAACGCACAAAGTACAGGTTACCTCCGCTGCACCATTACGCACGGAAAGAGGCTACTCGCGGCTCTGCACCTCTGCAACACAGAATGCAAGATAAAGCGAGGAAGGACTCAGTGTTTAGAGCCAGTCTTTCCTTCAAAGTAGCCTCTTTTTGCAGTCGTACAAGTCATGAATACCAAGCAGAAGATGCTTGGAGAGAGCAGAACACAGAGTAGACAGGTTGCTGCTGCAGTCCGCTGAAACATCGCTGACTTTAACGGATTTTCTTTTCATCTCACGTTTACCTTCAGTTTCCTGAGTTTGAGCAGAGGACACAAGCGGACGTTTTTGAAAGTCTCATATTGTATCATGACCGTTAAAAAGTGAGATTCAACGATCAAAGAGCATACAAAACAGCCCTAGGCAGAGGGCATAAAGTGCTTGCATTATAATTTTAAATATTGACTATATATTTTTTGAAGAATCGTTAAATGTTTCCATTACGGAATCGCATGTTGATCTCTTCTAAACGGCTTCTTGGTTTTCATTCGGGATGTGTTTTATCAAGAAATGATATATATCCCATGTTTGGGAGTAATAACGATGCTGTTGTAATTCGACTCTCGTGTCTTTGTATCTAACTGTGGAGCTTCCACTTCTGAAAAAAGATAATCGTAATCACCACTGACTCGATTATATCCCTAAAACCAAAAGGATTCCGAAAACTCTCCATACCTCGCCTGTGCGTAACAAGTGCCAGAGCGATGCTGAGTGTGGGCTGCGGAGGGGAGATGTTGCGGACAGCAAGAGGATTCCGTAGCTTTAAACTCCGAGAGATTAAACTGTGTATCTGTATGTTTACTGTAATATACTGTCAGGTATATTTGCCGTTTGAGAAGCGGAGTATTACTCGGCTATCTGAACTGCTGTTAGAATTAGTCCATTGCCCAAAGATTAAAAAGGAAACTTCAGTTATTCTTCACTTTGTTTCTAAATAACACTTGCACTTTTTTTCATATGGTACCGCTGTACATGTGCGCGTTTATATGCATGCCGGAGTACATGTCAAAATATCTGTGATCATTAGGTTATGTAAAGAAGTGTGGGGACGCTGTAAATTGACTGTTTTGCGCTCAGACCGAGTTAAGCGCGCACTGTTCTGCCCGTTTCTAAAACCAAGTGATTTCAGCAAAGTAGACTATAATTTGAACTGAAAATGAGACACATTTCTACCGTCAACAACATGTAGCCCGTCCTTACAGTAAGCTTCGTAAAGCAAAACCTCCTAAAGCTCCAAAACTTTGTCAAAACCTCCGATGAGCCATGTGAAGCTGAACTGAATATGCTGACGCAAACTCAGACGAGTGTCCATCATAAGTCAAACTGGCACTATTATTAAAAAAAAAACCATCTCAATAATTACTTAAACAAGGGATTTATTGCAGTTTCCTTTTTTCGGACATTCTTACTCATATGCAAAGATTTCTGTGTGGATACAGAACAGTGGTTTAGATTCTGCGACTAACGTGCTGAGTTTAAAGTTGCTTTACTATCACATTATCCAGCAGTACCACATATGCATCTGTAATGCCCTGGAAATCACAAAGCGCTCAGATCACCCTGCATGTCCTCCCTATGTGAGCAACTTCAGCGCTGTGACATTCAACTCAAACTGAATCAAAGCCGACCAATGCACAAAGAATCTGAAAATATTTAAAACACACACACACACACACACACACACACACACACACACACACACACACACACACACACACACACACACACACACACACACACACACAAGAATAAATTGCTTCACTACCTGGAAAGAATTGTCCATCAGTGTGTCCCCAAAGTACAAAGTAGAAGAAAGCTGCCAGCCAAACGCCAGAATTACTCCGTTTATCCATTTCTTCCTTCTTTTTCTTCTTGTTTTGTTCAGCAGTAAGAATTATTTTACATACTCCCGTCTGGTCCTTAAAGTTGTTTCCCTTAGTTCGGGACAGCAGTGGCAGTAATAAGAGTAATAAAATCCTTGCATTGGTGGATAAGAAGAATCAGAAAGACACAAGTAGACGCAAAGAGGGAAGTTGGGGGCAAATAAATGGGAGCTCTCCGCTTCCCTTTCCTCTCCTATCTTCTATGTTCCGACAGAGCGAGCCAACGTGTCTGTGCGCGTCAGTGCGCGCGTGGGCCCCAGAGACTGTATGAAGGGCTCTGTGTATGTGTGCGCGCTCAGACGGTCTCTGACAGACTGACTTAGAGTTGGTGAGGAATGGAGAGGAGTGCACATTACACCGGGTGCCAGGCACCCGCGTAAAGAGGAGTGGATTAACGCGTGCTGAATGTCCGGTGACACGTTTCAAAATAAAACAGGGTGGCGTTTGAATGGAAACTAAAACAGGACATTGCCATTTACCATCAAGGCCGAGTTTTGAAAGAAGTAAGAGCTGTAAATTAACCAATAACTGGTCAAACTGGTAAAAACATGAACAAGGGGAGCAGAGTTCACTAAAGGTGCAATAAAACTGGGTTTTCCTCAGGTGTAATCTTGGGTATCAGCATTGGGGAAATATATATATTAAAAAAAAGCATTTATGATCATTCTAAACCTAAAGAACTTCTTAAATGGAAACATCTAGTCTACTCTCTCACTGGCAACATACGTCTCCGTGGTCATTCTATAGAGAACAGTTTGGGACGTTTGGTAATAGATTATTTTAGTTTGGAAAAATGATTAAATATGGAGTCCTTTAACGTTAAAGTATCCGCGTGGTTAATTTGCTTGTATTTACTTTGGAATAAAATAACCACTAAGCAAAAAAGTTGCAGGCATACACGCACACTACTGCTTATTGTTCTATCGCCGTCATTAAACACATGCTTTTAACTTTAAGGGTTAGATGTCAAAGTTCCTTTAATGGCTTCGTTTTATTCCCGCTAGCTTCACTACAATAAAGCAGTTTTAAGTTCCTAGGTTCCCCCTGGGTCCTATCGCCTGCATCCTCCGCAAAGGATAGGATTCGCATTCAGTCTCATTTCTCCCTCCCTCGCATTCTCTTTCTTTGCGTGTCTTTTTCTGTCATGAGATCCCGTTCAGTCCACTCATTCTGCTGTCACAGGATTTCTGTTTCAAGGGCTGTCTGTCTTACCTCTCTGCCCACAAACACTGAAACACAATCTGACTTTAACACGCGAGTGAGTGTTTTTAAGAGTAAGATTTTTGTTTAAAGGATTTTTAAGAGATGCAGTGCCACCAAGGACTTTGGTAGAAACGATAAAGTTCAGATGAGCTGCTATGTGTTTTTGTTAACGGGCGAAACACTGATACCAAGTGTATGTTGAAAATATGAACTTGTACTGTAATATCTGTGTGATTATACTGTATCTAGGTGCTATAATAATGTGGGGTTTGTTTGTTTTTTTGTTTGTTTTTTTTATATGGTGACCTCATCCTGTCTCTGAGGACCTTCTGAGGAACGAGCTTCTCGTTTTTGTTCCACGCTAATAGACATAATATTATATCAAGGTTATTTTCTGTTTTCTTGTAGCCTGCTTGAAGAAAACAGTGTGAGTTTATAGAGTAAGCTTAAATAAATATGTCAGTTCTCACTTCTGGCTTTGGTTGTTGACCATGATACTGACCAAAGCTGGGATGGTGCCATTGATATTAATGCTTATGCTTGTATGACGTTATTTTTGCATTTACAATGTGCGCAGACATGCATCTGTGTCAGAGAGACAGCGAGAGAGAAACGCATGCAGAGAAAATATATGTGACAGCAATCTCTGTGATATGTTCAAGTGCAACTGCATCTGATTAACCATACAAAGGATATAAGGATAACTACACTTCCAATAGTGGATTTCTAAGTCATAGTTCCCTCACGTATAGTGGGACATTTTTAAATGGACATTTGTCACAGAGAGTACTTGAGTGGTAAACTGACCTAGTTCTTGTGTGGGTTTGAACTAGGGCTCTGCAATCTATCATCTGTGATAATACAAGCATACATTTTTATATGATATAAAAAAGTCATATCATTATATCAGTGATACAGTAACATGCATTTATTTTCCCCAGTGCTCAACAACGTGACAAGCCCAGGCTGAACGCCAGCTTAAAACGATGATTTAGTAAAAAGGGAGCTACTTTAACAGCCTTCGACAAAACACACTACAGCATTATTGCAAAATATGCAAAAGAAAAAGAAAAAAGGTAACAGTCAAAGGAGCTTGCAAAGAAAAGCGTCTGGACTTCTTTAAGTTGCTTGAAGACGTTTCACCTCTGGGACTCTCCACCATTTGACCTTAGAACTGAAGAAGCTTCTCGGATGAGAGGTGAAACGTCTTCAAGCAACTTAAAGAAGTCCAGACGCTTTTCTTTGCAAGCTCCTTTGACTACGATGACCTGGATGACTGAGAACCTTCACAGACAAAAAAGGTAACAGTTTCTGTTAAAGATGGAAACAGAAAACTTGTTTCACCACAAAAACATAATGTTGAGAACAACCAAGCAGTTTCACAGTGTAACTTTTAACTCAAAATTTTAACTTAAATGTTACAAAGTAACTAAGTTTGACTTTACATTTGTTTTATGCTGTGTCAATACTTTTGAGCTACAGGGCAGGTGCTGACAGCGCCTTGTAGCAATAGTTTAACACTTTGAATTAGATGTCATCAGTGACCGTAGCTAGTTGGAAAAGAAGGCTAGAAAATGATCTTCATTTTAGTTAAACTGTAAATTAACAATATTATTATTATTATTATTATTATTATTATTATTATTATTATTATTATTATTATTATCGTCGAAGAAATCTCATATGTCAGATGGGAAGCATGGTGGTGAGGTGGTTAGCACTGTTGCCTCACACAAGGTGTATACCACCTTTCACCCTATGGTAGCTGGGATAGGCTCCAGCTCCCCCCATGACCCTGATAAGTGAAAGAGAATGGATGGGTGGATATTAAAGAAGACAGTTTTTGTGGTGAATATGGATGTTTTACTCTTGATTGCATTCTGTCTCTCCCATAAACTCGAGGCAGCATGATATATAAGTTTAATCTACTACTGCACTGTCCATGTCTGTTTTCTAAAGATGTTTTATGTAGTAGCTTACCAAATTGTCGCAGTCCTCTTCATGTAGCAAATTAGTTACTGTGGTATGCTTGTTTATGTATCAATGACAATGATCATTTAAGACAACAACACAAAACATGTATGAAGTAAACCATTAAGCAATGAAAAAGGAAAGGTTTTCTTGTTTTCAGGCAACTTTGAAATGTCTGCTCAATATCAAATGGTGCACCCGAACTGCCATTTATAAGACCATGTCAAATCTTTTTCGGCCTACTGCCCTTCAGAGGTCCCCACTGACTGTGTGGTATTTGTTCCCCTCCATTTCCAGGTGAGCGTGACAGGATGCATTAAATTTTGTAAATTCCACACAGTCATTTGGGAAGGTCTAGACACTATTTGCCCTTGCACGGTCCTCAGGCCAACATATAGGCTACCACAAAACAGCCTGTTGCACTACAGTTTTGCCTTTTTAAAGTGCTGATCAATATTTGAAATATATGATATAATTTGTGATTTGACAAATACATATTAACTGCAGTTTGAATGCCCTTTATACTCTCTCATTCCAGTTTTTCTTGTCAAGCAAAGAGCAAGTTATAACACTAAAAGCAGCACATCATCTCCACTGTATTCAGTGTGAATTAGGAACTGCTTTTTCTCCTTGAGTCACTTGATGGTTTGCCAGAATTGCCTTGAGGCTGACCAAAAGGCTCCATGGCCTCACCCACCTCCTCCCATACCCAAGTTTTGGTTTAGTTACTCCTAAGGCCACGTTCCGCTTAGCCTTTTGATATCTCTAAGCTGCCTCATGCCAGCCAAGCTTGAAAGCTTGAACGCTTTTTCAGTTTGGTGACTGGAATGGACTGATAGATAGCATTGAATGCACTTTATACAACATGCCACATTCATACTCCAATGGATGCATTGGAGAGCAATAGGGTTAGTATCTTGCCCAAGGATATTTAAGGGAGAAGGATAGAACCAACCAACCTTCCAATCAGTGCATGACCTGTTCTACCTCCTGAGCTATAGCCACCCACAGCCATCTCTGGTGCCCACCATTTGGTTTGTTGGTTCTGGCCACAAGAGGCACCAACCTTCATTTTCAACAGACCACTGCTGAGCTGCTGTCCACTAAGACTCAATGTCCTCTGGCTTCCTCAGAATGCTGTCAAAGTTCTGCCAGCGGTAGAAAGTGAGGATCTTGTAGACTGGGGCTTCTGTCAGATGCTCCCAATGCAGCCTCGCTACATGTTTCGGTATGCCAGATCTGTCAGGTATGCATTTTCTCTCTGTCTCATTTTAGTCTTAAATTCTCCTTGGCCTTACTAATATATTCACTTTTTAATTTCCTCTTCCATTTTGAATTTGTGTGCTGATAATGACTATAAATAATGAATCATTTCCATTGTTTGGTGAAGTAAAAATCAATGTCTAATTAACAAGTATATTGTGTCTATCCAGGCCATATATTCCTCACCTCAGCACTCAGCATCATCATTTATTAATTAAAAATCAATTATTCAGACCAAATGGTTGAGAGATATTCTCTCCCCAAACATGACTTTTCCATTACTTACAGATAAGGCATTATATTTTACATAGTACTAACTTTAGTGAGAGTCATGAAGTCTGGAGTTATGCCAAATCAATATCAGTTTGTAATCGTACCAAAGCAATACAGTTAAAAATTATACACAGAATGCATATATCCATATTTCGCAGACTTCAATATAATCCTACCCTTTCACCCATGTGCCTCAAATGTAAGACAGAAATTGGTACCCTAACTCACAGCTTCTGGTCATGTTTGAAATTGCAAGAATATTGGTCTAATGTGTTATCTGAAATGGAGAAGATTTTCGGTTGTGAATTGGAGATGGACCCTCTGTCTCTCATACTGGGCCTCCCCAGCCGGCGATTAATATCCAAGAATAATAGGAGATTGTACTGTGTTCTCACTTATGCGGCAAGGAAGAATATACTACTCCAATGGATTTATGAAAAAGCACCAACTATTAAAGGTTGGCAAAGAGTAGTGTTGGATCTAGTACCATTGGAATATCTTACATGTGTACTGCACTCAAAAACAGATCAACTCTTTAAGGTGTGGGAACCATACATGAACTATGTGGAACCTGATGTTTCTAATATTA